TCTGCAAGACCTGAGCAAGGATGTTAATGATAGGACATTTTGGAGGTCATTAATTCGTAGGGTTGCCATATGTTGAAAGTGACTTGACAGAATATAACACACATACACACCATTTAAACATGGTTACTTATTATAACTCTTTGAAGCATGACAGTCTAATTAAATACAGAAAAAATAGTATAGCAGTCTAGTGGCAAAAGACTAGCATAGCTACCTCTTAACATTTATAGTATTTATAAAATAGCAGAATTCAGTACAGCCCAGAAACAGTCAAAACAAAGGAGAACCAAGGGATCTGTGATAGAATGGGAAACAGAAACTTTTTCCGCCTGTCCTCAAGCCCCACAATATTAGCAGAGAATGTAGGAAGGCACTTCCCCTCTTTTAGCACTTTCTTAACCTCTCGGGGAGGATTTCTTCAGTCTTTGAGAATTATGTCAAACAGTGGCTTCAAGTAGTATTTCTGTTTATTTGTGGTTAATTAATATGCTAGTTTCAGTCCATTTCCCATAATTATTGATAACAAGTTTCTGCAAAAAGTAAGTCATTCAGTTTTGTTGTGTTTTAACCTCACAATTTAGAACACAAAGAACCTCTGGCATTAAAAAAGCAGTACTCTTAAAGAAAAACTTAAACAGCATGATAAAAAGTAGAGACATCACCCTGCCAACAAAAGTCCGCATGGTCAAAGCAATGGTATTCCCAGTAGTCATGTATGGCTGCGAGAGTTGGACTATAAGGAAGGCCGAGCTCCGAAGAATAGATTCTTTTGAACTATGGTGCTGGAGGAGACTCTTGAGAGTCCCTTGGACTGCAAGAAGAACAAATCAGTCAATCCTCAAAGAAATCAACCCTGACTGTTCCCTGGAAGGCCAGATAATGAAACTGAAGCTCAAATACTTTGGCCACCAAATGAGAAGGGAGCACTCACTGGAGAAGACCCTGATGCTGGGAAAGATTGAAGGTCAAAGACGGGGACGGCAAAGGATGAGATGGTTAGACAGTGTCATAGATGCAATGAACATGAAATTGAGCAAACTTCAGAGGACGGCGGAAGACAGGAGGGCCTGGCGTGATCTGGTCCATGGGGTCGCGAAGAGTCGGACTCGACTGTGCGAGTGAACAACAACAACTCTTAAAGAATACTCCTTATATGCCAACATCTCAATTTGTGTAAAGACTCTGTCACGCACATACCCATTTACCCTGTAACACTTCACAAAGGAAAAGCAGGATACTTGAGTATCTGTACTACTGTATCAGTCAGTAAAGTAGTTAACTTCCAAACAGCTGAAGGCTGTTTTCTGTTGCTGTACTCTGCAGTACCCTATCCTGTGCTAACATCCCTTCCCCAACAGATTAAGCTCTAGACATCTTACAGGCAAGAAAGGTGATTTACCACTGTGCAGGATTACCAGCTCTGGGCTGGGAAATACCTGCAGTTTTGGAGATGGATTTGGGGAAGGGAGGGAATAATGCCATAGAGCCCACCTTCCAAAGCAGTCATTTTCTCCAAGGGAACTGATCTTGATTGGAGATCAATTGTAATCGTGGGAAATGCTTGGGGGCAACAGTGGGAGGGCTTCTGCAGCCTGGCCCCACCAGTGAACCTCCTGATGCAGGCCCATAGCTACTGTGGGGGTTGGGGGGCTCTGCCCCCTTTCTTAAAGGCACAGCCCCACAAGAATTTATCCTGTAAATGCTTTTTCCAATCATTTTAAAGCCTTTTTAAAGGCCTGTGCTTCTTTAAGCAGAGTGGGGTGCTTTAGCTGACTAATTCCTGCACTGGGCAAGGGGGTTGGAGTAGGTGACCTCTAGGATCCCTTCTAACTCTGTGTCAAGAAACTGGTCTTCTTTAAGAGAGTTTTTCTGCCAACCTAGTTTTCTTGACTATAGAAGTCATCACTCCCACCTGCCACCTTGTTCTCAGAATTGTTGCTTAGGCTGGCAGAAATGATTAACTTTCAGCAGCGGAGAACTGTCACCTAAAGTGGTTGACAGCTTGCAGTTTAGAGATCTATCCTGGTAACAGCTTTCTATTGGCTAAATGGCTTTTCTTTCTGCACTGAGAACTTCAGCCCCACCAGAAAAAAAAAATGCCCCACATGCCACAAAATCTTGGCTATGGCCCTGTCTTGATGGCACCTGGTTTTTGCCCACTGTGTGATACAGAGTGTTGGACTGGATTGATGGGTCACTGGCCTGATCCAACATGGCTTCTCTTATGTTCTTATGAGATCTCCAGGTGCCAGCTGGATGTTGGCAGCCCCCCAGGTCCAGGCAGTGATCAAGAAATTGAGACTGTTCGTTGTATATGTCCAGTGGGGTAGTCATGTTAGTTTACTGTAGCAAAACAAAACAGAAGTAATGTGGCACCATAAGGACTATTAACATTTATTTCAGTATAAACTTTCATAAAACAGCTCACTTCTTCGGATACGATATGAGAAATAAAACCCTTAGCGTCAGTTTGAAGTGTATGCCACCTCTACAGAATCCAAGGAATACAGATAGAGGGTGCCCTG